TTTACCGATAAATGTATAGATAAATGTACAGCCGATCAATATGACGCTTTTACACTTACAGCAGCAATATCAGGCGAGACACATGGTTCCGTGGAATATTTTACAAATTTATTACAAAAATACTGCTTCCGTTTCAGAACTTAGGATAAAAACAACAGGACCAAGTGGTTTGGGGATATCCCAATTATGTCCGAAATACTGTAAATTTTTTAATACTTTTTTTCCTATTATTGTCTGCCGTTCCCCTTTTTCATACCAAATAACTCTGAACAACCACTCCAACTTTAATTTGAACTTTAACTCAATGGATAGCGATACCCATCCAAAGCACATTAAACAAACGATATATTGAAATCTGTTTAAAAATAGAACATATTTTTTTCCGAATTGGTCACGTGGTTTTACCTCATCAAGTAATGGGATAACCACATCAAAGAATGACAGGACCACATCAAATAATGAAACAAACACATCATGTAGTGTAAAATCATCAAATTTTGAAACATCATTGCGTAATGTTAAAACCATATAAAGAATAGGCAAATCATCATTACGAAATAACAAAACCACATCATGTAATGAAACAACTACATAACGTTAAGTCACATTCACATCAAGTAATGTTAAAACCACATTGACTAATGACACAACCACATTAAATAATGGTGAAACCACATCGATTAATGACAAAACCATATAGAGTAATGACAAAACTATATCAAGTCAATACGAAACCATATCGTGTAATATCGAAATATCATTAAGTAATGACAATTCCATATTGAGTTATATCAAAACATCATTACGTAATGTCAAAACCATATTAAGTAAAGACAAAATATCATCAAGTAATAATAAAACAACATAAAGTAATATCAGAGTTCCACATAAGACAGCTGTGGCGTTCCATATTATGATATTAGCTGTAATTGGCTTTGATCTAGCTAACAGTATTTGTGCGTTGTTTCTATTGTTTTAACGTTAGTGGTTTCTCTACTTCGTACCGATCTTTTGCGTTAGACTGGTTTTTATAGTTCTTATGTACTGCTGTAAGACCACTGTCACACGTTGGGAGGGGGAGAGGGTACCGTAGGCGCTCACAAACATATACCACCGACACATTTTGAATGTGCCTGTCTTAAATCAGGAGCATATAGATCAGTTGTTGTAGTTGATTCATGTCTGTCAATTTTTTTCTACGGAAATTATTTTGTTATAAATAAGTTAGTTTTCTCGTTAAAATTGTTTCACATTTTCACGTTGAGAACTTTTATAGCCGAATATACGGTATGGGGTTTTCTCATTATTGGAGGCCGTACGGTAAACGACACTTTCTTCATTTATTATAAAGTTTCCATTTTAAAAAGAAATGTTTTTCATCATCTGAATCTTTACCAACTAAATAGTTGTCAATAGTTATATTCGATGTTCAATATAATAAAATTGAGAATGGAAAGAGGGAATGTGTCAGAAAAAGAATGTAAAAGACTTATGATTCACATTCTCGTATCATTTCCTTGTTTGCTTTTTATGCTTTATGTCTAACAATTTCTTATGAAGTTATAGAAGCATACAAGAATATTACTTTTCAAGAAGTCAATTAAAAAATGCATCTGTTATAAACCTTTTTATATCTGCATATTCTTAAAAGCAATAAAAATAAGATCTATATACAGGTTGTCTACTAGTTATCAACACGGGTTAGGGTATTTAATTGGTGGTGCATAGGGTATTGTATGGTCGTACTACAGGTATTCATTAAACATATATGATCAGGTAGTTGTACCTGTTTTCTGTACACAACAATAATATATTCCAATCTCACCTGTGCCCTCGGCAAAACCAACATCCAGGATGAACACAAAGAGCTTATGAAGTAATATTGCGTAATCACTATATGTCTTTATCAATCCCCCATGTGGAGTGACACTTGAAGTTTGCAACTTCAAACGAGACCTGAAATTGCGAACCTCAATCATCTGTACCGTACACCTGTGACCTATGATGAACTCATGGCATGGCACCCGAGACCCCAACTCTGGAATCCTAATGAAAGTGGGCGAAAAGAAGTGTAGTTTGGGCTTGTTAAAAAGTCCCATCTTTACACCTTCTAAGTCTGCGTGTCATTCAAAAAACAGAAAATATCATGTCAATATTCTTTTTAATTATATTGTTGAATCCATCGGCATCACACATAATCATTGTTTATCACTGTCGTGCGTTTTGTTGGATAATGATCGAAACTAATTTGTGCTGTACCCATATGTCAATATGAATGAATGTAACCACTGACGTAGTAGCCTCGTTCTAAGTGACTTCCGGGATGGAAATATGCATATTTGACAGGTCGATAAATCGTTGCATTAAAATCTCATTAAAATACATATTTTCCTAAATAGTTGACACTTATATTGCTATCGATGTATTTTTGGGGAAAGTTAAGTATATATAAACATTTTGAAACACAAATTGAAAATCGTGTCATGTCTCCTTTAAGGGTTGAAATATAACATGAAATAAATTTTCTATATTATTACGACATTTGACTATACTACTCTGTCAATTTGCTATTTCACTAAGATAAATTTATATACTATAAAGACGTTCTGATATAACATGGAGCTACCTTTTCATACTATTCTGTTATTTCACTTTGTCATGAAGACATTATTTTATACTATGAAGACATCTTGATATAACATGGAGCTACCTTTTCATACTATTCTGTCACTTTACTATACTATTATGCGATATTGCTAGATCATAAAGATACATTTTATACTATAAAGACATCTTAATATGACATTGAGCAACTTTTTCATACTGTTTTGTCACCTCACTATACTAATATGTCATGTTACTATCTTATTACGATAAATTTGTATACTATACAATCATCTCGATATAACATGGAGCAACTTTTTCATACTATTCAGTCATATTACTATCTTATGAAGACATATTTTAATATCAAGCTACCAAAGTCATATACCACGAGGTGTCATTTATATACCAGTAGACTATTTGATTACACTACAAGACCATTTCATCGTACTATCCGAAGACAATTCTATAAATAGCGGCGAAATATTATATTTCATATTTTTTAATTATCTTTTTTTTATTCTGTGTTTTCAGAAATTCCAGTATGGCCACATCAAGTTAATTTGTAGATGATCATCCACCTGTTTTAAGCAAGTGAGGCGGGTGGGAAATTCTATTAATTTTTAATTCATAACAATCTCTAGGAAATTAACATTATTCCTCCAAAATACAAATTAAAAAATTGAAGAAAGTGTTCATGGGACACAGATGCCCCCGCTTCCACATAAGTTCTAAAGGGGCATATCTCTTGAACGGTAACAGTTACAATACCCAAATTCGAACTTGATCTGTATATTGTGGTAATAAGCTATGTGTATAAGATTCAAATAATCGGCAAAGGCAAAGTAAAGTTAGAGCACGGAAACCACAAAAATTGAAAATTTCAAAGTTTTCAAGGGCATAACTCACGAGCCGTAAAAGATGCAAAAAACCAAATTCGAACTTGATCTGTATATTGTGGTTAAAAGCATTGTGTATAAGTTTCAAATCATTCGGCCAAACCAAACTAAAGTTCGAGCACGGATACCAATTTCGTGACGTGTGTACGGACGCGAGAATACATGTTCTTTTTTTTTTCTCTTTTTTCTTCAATCGTTTTGGGTTTTCATACGCTCATTTTGCATTCGTCTTCTAAAGGTTTTGACTTCAAACCCTATTATTGGGAACAGAATTGGTTGAACAGACCAAATTGCAATCTTTCCTTTTTAATTGAACATATTACACTGACAATAAAGGCAGGGCACTTTTTTTTAAATTCAACAAGTATCGAAATAATGACCATGATAGTCATCAACATAAATTGAAGAAAAAATTATAACAATATTTTGAATCCTGAAAAACATCAATAAGTCGAACATCGGTTACAAATCACTACCAGAAAGTATGTTGTGTTGTAACATCACTGTCCCATGTAAGGGGAAGGTTTGAATGCTCACAAAAAATGTTTAACCCCCGCCACATTCTGTATGTGCCTGTCCCTAGTCAGGAGCCAGTAGTTCAGTGGTTATCGTTGGTTCAAGTCTGTCATATTTGTTTCTCGTAAATTGTTTTGTTATAAATTATGCCGTTAGTTTTCTCAATCGAATTGACTCATATTTTTCATGTCGGGGCCTTTTATAGCTGACTATACGGTATAAGTTTTTCTCATTGTTAAAGGCCGTACGATTGCCTATAATAGTTGCTCACATCAACTTCATTTGAACTTTGGTGGATAGTTGTCTCATTGGCAATCATACCACATCTCCTTATTTTTATATGAAAATGCTTTTGCTTTAAACAATAACAATGTTCTCACACCAGTCCCCCACCCCTCTTTTCTAAACTTAAAAGAAAAAGATGGAGATGTTGCATAAACGAGTAACGCAGGTTACAAAAAATAGACATGTACATAGACTTGACAAAGAAGCCATATATTGTAAAAAGTCTGCATATTTCTATCATATAAATCCATCAACAGAATGCTTTTATTATGTAATAAATATCTACATTGTATTTCCTGCAATACCTTTCACACAAGAAGTTTTTGTTTCAATCTGCATTTATAAGTATTCCAAGAAATGATGTTCTCCCGTAATTGTCATGACTGTAGATATGATTATTGGAATTGCCACTAGTTGTTCTGATAAAGGCGTGCTCGTCTTTTTTCATCCGACAAATTGTTGTCATGGACGCAGAAAAGTAACCACCCGAATCGACTTCACTTTCCCCTGTAGACGATATAACATTCTCTTCTACAACAAGCTCCGTCATTAAAAAATTTGCATTCACAGATGATATTGTCCATGAAAACATATAAATACCATCCTCTGGAGCTACAAATACCCCGTCATATTTATCGTAATGACCTCCTTCGTTGATGACGACAGTTTCGAATACAATAGTAGAATCAGTATTCAGAGTGAGGGTCTTGCTGTTAATAATTGCGCAGAACAAAACTGGTTGAGCTTTACCTGTCAAAATAAACAAGATAACATCACAATTAGTCGCAAAGGGCGATATGAGGTGGTGCCTTTTTGCCTCCTCAAATCCACAAGCCGTAAAACTATTTCAAATATATCCTTCATATTTAGCTATGCACGATACTTTCACGCAGCAATATTAAAGAAAGATAAGAAAAACAAGGCAAAATGTTACCAACACTATGGCAAAAAAAAAAACCAAAACGACAGCAATATACAAACACTACCAGAAAACTTGAGACTGAGGAAAATGAACAGCACCAAAACACTTGGGGTGATCTCAAGTCCCCCGGGAGCTAAAAAAGAAAGATCGTCGGAAAAATAAATTCATAACTTGGACCTAAAACTTAAAGTCATATGACACTTCAAATTTAAAAAAAAAAGTTGAAAGGTTTTATATACTTGAACGGTCAAGTCTTACTATTAAACACGTATACATGGACTTTCTTTTAAAAGAAAATCTTTTATCTTATCAAAATCATCAGAAATGTACTTCAATTGAATTATTGTCTTCCCGTACTCTTATTCGCCGAAAGCTTTTCCGTATGCAGTAACCTTAACAACGAGACCTTTCGTTAGTACTTCGGCAATCGCACAGGGCAACTGCGAGGGAAACCCCGTGATGAAAGTCAAAGGTACACAAACGTGGATGTTAGATAGTGTTAATTGATTCGGAAAGAACTATTTGAATACACCAAATCATTTTACAATTGTTATGAAAAAGTTTAGTAAACAAATAGAAACGCATGGAAAATAAAAAAAAATGAACATCGTTCTAGTGCATGTCCATTCTCTCACATATTTTTCACGTGCTCCATGATTCTTTATTGATTGTTTATTAAGGTCAATTTTAGTAAACTTCGGCAAAACAACACGATAGTTAATTAGCAGGGAAAGTTTTCACTGATTGAAATATTTTTTGTCAATTAAATGTAATGGATTCGTAATAAACGTTAAGAAAAAATAGTGCATGGAGGACGTAGTTGAGTATATATACACGCATAGGTTCAATAATTTCCTTAACCTTATAATTTCAAGCAACTCGTTTCATATAAAGTAAATAGCAAAACAATGGTCATTTGACCTTTATCTGAAGATATGGTAAAACAACTACAATTCACTGATCTTCAATTATGAACTATACCTACAGATATAGATATAGATACATTATTAAAGACTTCAGGTTATAATATGTAAGAAATTCAAAAGACAACTAATGGAAAAGGACAGATATCTTCAAGTCCTAATGAGTCCTTCAGCACGGGGCAAAAGCTTGCACTATCCTTCAAGACGGCACCTATCATTGGTTAAGCTGCGTTATTTACTAGAAGTAAAAAACGCTGCTTCTTTTTTCATTGAAGAACACAGATGCGGGTTTTATCCTTCCTTTCAAAAACAAATGACCTTTTTTTCAAAAGAATTAAAATGAAAATAATATCTAAAACAGAAACCATGCCCCACACTGATGAATGATCAGTTCGCATGTTTTTTCGTGTGTTGATTGCATATTTTCAAAAACCTCAGAAAAATTCTCGACACGTTAAGACTTGATGCGATTTAGACACCGCTTTTTTTTAAAACAGTATGTTGGCCTCTAAATGGTATTTGGTTATTCGTTTTGCTGGGTTGCTCACACATTTACGTAGATGTCAAATCTTCTTTTATTAATTATATTGTATTTTCTTCAAAACCAATCAAATAACATTAAAATGTTCAATTCTGAATTTGAAAATATGTGAAAACAGTTGTCATGAATTTTGATGTAATATTGCTATAAACTTATGTTTGCGAAAAAAACCCAAATGTAATATTAAAAACCCAATAGGACAATGTACAGCCATTTATTGGTTTTTAAAAATACAAGTGTATTTCAAAATTTGAATTGAATAAAGAAAATGTTATATTAGTATAAATAAAAAGATGTGGTATGAGTGCAAATGAGACAACTCTGCATCCAAGTCACAATGTATAAAAAGTTAACAATTATATAGGTCAAAGTACGGCCTTCAACACGGAGAACTGTATATGATATCAAATAAGTTAGATATTTTTTCGATATAATCATATGTAGTCTCTTTGCAGCATACACACGAATGAATAATGATATGTTATAATCAGTACACTAATAATTTTGAAAGAAACAACCATAGTCGATTAAACGTTCCAGTTCACATCTTTTAGATACGCTGTAACATGAATATCTAAATATTGGCATTGCCATTCCCAACAAGTAAAAGTGCATTTTTGGTTGAAGACCAGACAAAATGTCTGTCCTATCCATTAACATACTATCTTTTGAAGTGGTAGTCCAAATTTCTCGCCCTTAATCTGGTCAACCCACTTTGTAGAACCTACCTATTGGTCCAGGAGTTAATTTTTGTTTTAAGTCGCCCTAAGTCTTCATGAAATATTTGCCACTGGGCGTTAAAAACAACACTCAATCAAAAATTTTTGTTCATTAGAGTCCATAAATGAAAACTTATTGAACGTAACAGGCTAATAATTTAGAAAGACAGACGAGAAATTCGTCTACAAAGGACTCATCACTGGCGGTGAATAACAAAAAGTTGGACGGAAAAATTAATAACGAAAAAACCAAAAGTTTCACATACCATCGCTAAGGCGATCAATGACCGAGGGTAAAAACTTAAGTCTTTCGAATTATTTTTACATTTTATGGACAGTAAATTTATTCCATCAATACAGTCGTTTAACAATAAACAGAATTTTACTAACTTACAAGTGTGACTTTTTACTTCAATTCATGTGACCATTTTTTTTTTATTAAAAGACTTCTTCTTTTTTTAAATGGATTTGGGTCTCTATCTAACATAAGTCTCAATGGTCTTGTAGCAAAATCCTTTCTCATATTACCTTCTAAAATACATTTTTTTCAATGACAGTAAATTAATGCAGTAAATGTTTTACCACTTACTTTCGTGTTCTAGAGATACGATTTTAGTCTCTAGCAGTTCCAATCGGTTTTTTTAATAATTCTTCATCAAGTGACGTTGCATTTTGTATCGACTTTGTCAATATATGCCGTGTGGCACACATCAATACTAAAATGATTTACCAATGCATTTCTATGCTGTTCGGATTAATAACAATTAAGACGATACAAATTAAAATAGCACACTTAAATCACAGATGTACATACAGTACTGATAGAAGTACTATAGAATCATCTGACCGAAAAAGAAGCAATGACTTAAGGCGGCAGTCATACGATATCGCTGTGATATGAAATCTTTAGTAACAGTATTACGATAGAATTTCACGATGGTTAAGTTATTTACAGTAATTTTGTAGATAAATTAATTCTAGTTCTTGAGAATCTACTGTTGACGATAAAGATTTATCAAATAAGATTTAAGACACGTCTTTGCCAAAACTGTTGGAATTGTAATGTCCTTTATTCCACATATGTATATAGTTAACGGTGCAGTACGATACATATAGATTATAACATGGCATTTTTCATATCAGACCCCTTATCAGCCCGAGAGCCGACAGGCTCGAGGGATGATTTTGACCATGGGCTGATAAGGGGTCTGATATGAAAAATGACATGTTATGTTCTTTTTATCATATACTTCAGCAGATACCATACAGTACAGACATGAAAACTTTTTTAAACTTTATAAAGTTCATTTATTGTATTACTTGTTTTAAGTTTTTTAATAATATATTACCTGTTTCCTAATATAAACCGGAAACAGTTGATATATACCGGAAACAGTTGATAACAAAAGTCATATCACACGGCTAAGACAATTTTTCAAATTTATTGAATAAATATGTGTGTAAATTAGTTTTATCAAGGGGTACACTTATACCAATATATGATAAAAGAAAGTTATTTTATTTCTAGATAGATTTTCAGAGAAGATCAAACATAAAATACTGTGAAAATGCTATCAACTTTGTATTCGTGACTTCAAAAATATCAGGTTTATTTTTTAGTTTTTAATTTATGAAAATGATGAAAAAGATAAAAGTTCTTATATTTATGGTTTTTATGTTCCTTAAAATCAATGAGACTGAATAAAAATATTGTCGGTTCAGTGTATCAATATTTAAGATTGCATATACTGTTACCTGTAAAATGAATGCGCGCAAATGTAATCAAAAGCTGCGCGCAAACGTAAAATATTTTGATCCCAAATTGCGCGCAAATGTAATGTGCCCGAGCGGTTAATGTGGAAATGATTGAAAACTAAAACGCATCAAAGGGGCACATTACATTTGCGCGCATTTGGGGATTAACATATTTTACGTTTGCCCGCAGCTTTTGATTACATTTGCCTTTTCATTTTACAGGTACCACATGTAAAAATAACGATGATTCATAATACATATGACTACTATAATGATGATAATTATTAATTTTGAACATATTTGTAAATTTAAATTATACATTTTTAATATTGAATTCTAAACAAGCATGTGTAAAGTGATCTTGACACTATTTTTTTTTACATTTTAAACCACCACATTTATCAAAGTAAGAGGAATTGATACACCAGCAGCAGTACGCAGAAGTAAGATAGAGAAAACATTATCTGATGGAGCAATTCCGAAAATACCAGAAATGAGAAGTTGACAGAATTTCATTTCTTTCAGCAGTGAGCTTCAAATATTCAGCACGTTCCGACATGTAAAACTAGTACTTTTACTCTTCAGATTTGCTATGTTTTTACATTTATCATCTGTATATATTTCCAGGTCTAAGAGATTGTGCATAATAAAATGGACTTATCCTGTTTTAAATCCCACTTCCACCTCACGTTGGTGAGCAGGGGACGGAAGGGGTACTTGTAAAAAGTTATAAAAAATATTTCAATAAATAAATAGATGAATACAAACACATTTGTTCAACACATCACAAATTGTATATTTTGTAAACGAATTAATAAAGTTATTTTTTGAGAAACAATAATAAAAAAAAATATTTCTTAAAGAATTTACTGTATGTAGTCATTAATCAC